TACAATTTGGCGTTGTGGGTCTAGGGGGTCCTTATTATATATATTTATATATATATATATATATATATATATATATATATATATATATATATATAATGGGTGGATCAATCACTACAAGTTTTTGGACAAAATTTTAAAATCCATGATTCTCACTTGGACAGCTATATGTGGTCTGCTCACGCGTCGAAAAACCTTGTAATTTATTTGTGTCCGCACGAGACTAAAATATATATATATATATTCTTTTTAATAATCACTTTAAAAACTTAATTAAAACATTTTCTTTCCTTTTGAGTGGCATTGCAATGCATGCCGGGTTCTCGCTAGTATATATATATATCTCAGAAACAACCAGACACTGGAGTCCTTTAAAACCGATTTAAAGACACATCTATTTCGCAAACACCTTCACGGATTATTGTCTACCATATTTTCCATTTAATGCATATTGGCTGTGTTGCTTAGGGTTGAAATGGGTAGAAAGACTTGGTATGCTTGTCATTAGTTTTTTGTAGTGTTGCGTTTGTTTTAAATGTCGTAAATTGTAGATTTGTTTTTTGTTGACTTTGTACCGCGCTTCGATCCTTTCGGGATGAAGCGTGTTTTTCTTTAATAAATTGTATTATATATATATATATATATATCTTTCCCTGGGCATTTGTTTAGGTGTCAAGTCTATGACGTGGCAAGAAGAACCAGGAGACTATTGCCGCGGCGTTAACTTCAATGAAATGGTCAACTTCACCAAAAATCGCTCCGCAGTTTTGTTTCTGCAGCAGCTGTTCGCTGTTACCCTAAAGAGGGCGATACTTTTCAAACGGACCTACGACACGTCCGTCTTGCTACTTGTCCTGCCGGGTCTGTTGGTTCTGCTCGGCACCGTGGTGGACAGGAGTGTCAAGGATAAGGACGCGGCGTCGTCGCGGTTCTCTCTCGACGGCTTCGAGGAGACGCTCACTCTGGTCAGCAAAGGTCAAGAGGTATCAGACGATCTGCTTCGGGCTTACACAGGTCAATTTCGACCGCCTCACCATGTCCACATCTTGCCTGATAGCGCTGTAGGTCAATAATCCAAATATCTTCATGTCGCTTTCCAAGTCAACAGTGTTTGTCTTATTTATGTTGCTAAAGTCATCGTAAAACAGTTCATTCGTGAACTTATAGTTAATAGTATGGAATAAAAAAAAATAGCTGATTCTCTTATTATAATGTAAGCTATGGTAAAGATTTATGAAATATAATAATTAAATAAAGATAAGTTTAATTTTTTGTGGAATCTTAAAATAGAAACCTCCTCCCACCCCCCACCCCCCCACCCCAAAAAAAATGCCCAGAAAAGGAGTGAAATTTTGCTTCCAGATTATTCATAGAACTTTAAATATATCAAATGAAAAATAATTAATTACTGAATGTATCGAATGAACCCATGAACTTGCGCACAGTATGTATGGAATGAACCCATTGTTCCACGCACTTGTGCATTGCAGAACACAACTGCCGGTGTCTCCATGATGGAGTATGCCAAGAGCAGCAGGGCCTACGATTACGGCAGCAAGGTTTACATCGGAGCTGAATTCTGGGCTAATGGGAGCATTGGCTACTACAAATCTTCATCACTCCACTCGCAGGCGATTACAGTCAGTTGCTTTAGTTCGTAGAATTCTTAGGCATTTGTACTGCCGATATCATGAAATGTTCGGCGCAATTCATCTCTCTTGTCATGTAATGTTTGATGCAACTCATCTTTCTTGTCATGAAATGTTTAATGCAACTCATCTTTCTTGTCATGTAATGTTTAATGCAACTCATCTTTCTTGTCATGTAATGTTTCATGCAACTCATCTTTCTTGTCATGTAATGTTTCATGTAACTATCTTTCTTGTCATGTAATGTTTAATGCAACTCATCTTTCTTGTCATGTAATGTTTCATGTAACTATCTTTCTTGTCATGTAATGTTTCATGCAACTCATCTTTCTTGTCATGTAATGTTTAATGCAACTCATCTTTCTTGTCATGTAATGTTTCATGCACCTCATCTTTCTTGTCATGTAATGTTTCATGTAACTATCTTTCTTGTCATGTAATGTTTCATGCAACTCATCTTTCTTGTCATGTAATCTTTAATGCAACTCATCTTTCTTGTCATGTAATGTTTCATGCAACTCATCTTTCTTGTCATGTAATGTTTCATGCAACTCATCTTTCTTGTCATGAAATGTTTAATGCAACTCATCTTTCTTGTCATGTAATGTTTCATGCAACTCATCTTTCTTGTCATGTAATGTTTCATGTAACTATCTTTCTTGTCATGTAATGTTTAATGCAACTCATCTTTCTTGCCATGTAATGTTTAATGCAACTCATCTTTCTTGCCATGTAATGTTTCATGCAACTCATCTTTCTTGTCATGTAATGTTTCATGTAACTATCTTTCTTGTCATGTAATGTTTAATGCAATTCATCTTTCTTGTCATGAAATCTTTCATGCAACTCATCTTTCTTGTCACGTAATGTTTCATGCAACTCATCTTTCTTGTCAAGTAATGTTTCATGCAACTCATCTTTCTTGTCATGTAATGTTTAATGCAACTCATCTTTCTTGTCATGTAATATTTCATGCAACTCATCTTTCTTGTCATGTAATATTTCATGCAACTCATCTTTCTTGTCATGTAATGTTTGATGCAACTCATCTTTCTTGTCATGTAATGTTTCATGCAACTCATCTTTTTTGTCACGTAATGTTTGATGCAACTCATCTTTCTTGTCATGTAATGTTTAATGCAACTCATCTTTCATGTCACGTAATCTTTCATGCAACTCATCTTTCTTGCCATGTAATGTTTCATGCAACTCATCTTTCTTGTCATGTAATGTATAATGCAACTCATCTTTGTTGTCACGTAATGTTTCATGCAACTCATCTTTGTTGTCACGTAATGTTTCATGCAACTAATCTTTCTTGTCACGTAATTTTTCATGCAACTCATCTTTCTTGTCACGTAATGTTTCATGCAACTCATCTTTCTTGTCATGTAATGTTTAATGCAACACATCTTTCTTGCCATGTTATTTTTGATGAAACTCATCTTTCTTACTATGTGATGTTTAATACAACTCATCTTTCTTGTTATGTAATGTTTGATGCAACTCATCTTTCTTGTCATGTAATGTTTGATGCAACTCATCTTTCTTGTCATTTAATGTTTGATACAACTCATCTTTCTTGCCATGTAATGTTTGATGCAACTCATCTTTCTTATCATGTAATGTTTCATGCAACTCATCTTTCTTGCCATGTAATGTTTCATGCAACTCATCTTGGTGCACTGCAGGTTCAAATGCTGATCAACGCTCACGTCAAGCATGAGTTAGGCCAGGAGTACGCCATCCAGACTGGATTGAGTTATAAAGTTGTGGAAGGCTCCAGGCAAATACCGTCCATCTCTTTAACGAGTTTATTGCTAACGATGGTTTTTGTCATCCTGCCTTCTGTGTTCGTCCATCGCCTTATTCAAGAAAGAGCAGTGAGTGGCGACTCTTTTCTTTTATTATTATTATTAATGTCGGCACACTGGGTGAAGAAGGGGAGGCGCCGACCAACGAAGGGGAACATATTAATGTATTTTATAACTGCAGGTTAAGGGAATATTTCAGCTCCGGTGTGGGAGAGCGCCAAAAAATCCCGCCTCCTTGAGAAACTCAAGTATCTGACCAGATATTGTGACCGAATATTGTGATCAAATAGTGTGACCGCCGTATTTATAGTAAGGTCGTCAGAACCCTCCAGAAAAAAAAAGTATAGACATTATCTAACTGCCAGAGAGTAATTCTCCCTCTATATACAGTTGCCCAATGTAGACGCTTCTGGAAACATAAACAAACTTTCCCAATCAAGGGAGGTGGGTAAAAGGGTGGTAGAGTTAATTGGTGATGTAAAAAAAAAACCAAAAACAAACTGGGAGTTAAGGTTGCATTCCACGGCTCGTGGTGAGTAAAAACTAGTTCAACACACAGGCTATAACATCGTCCTATGTCCGGTCTTCGTATTGTCCTCACCAAATCAAAGCACTCTCCTCGCCAAACCCTTCTGCTCGTCCAACCCCCATCCATTGCCCTATTCCCCCCCTCCTTGACCTAAGTCCTCCCTTACCCTATGCCCTTACCTCATCGATGCCCCGTAATTCTTTTTTCCTCTTCCCGTCACATGCCCTTCCCCCTATTCCCATGCCCTCTTCAACTCTTAAGCCCTCGACCTTTCTTTACCCTATACTCTCTCATCCGTCCCACCTCTACTCTCCACGCGCTATACGCCTTCGCACGTGTTTAATGTTTTTTTTTAAATTTCCATGTCAGACGGGATCCAAGCATCTTCAAACGTTGAGCGGCATCAACCCATTCGCGCACTGGCTGGGGGTCTTTCTATTTGACGCCTTCATCGTCGCCTTCATTGACATAACGGTAATGCTGGCGTTGTTAAACCACCCTTTCGTCCATCTGGCCGAAGGTCGCTGGGTCGTGCTGCTGACCATACTTCTCATGTACGCCGGCGCCGTGCTGCCTTTTATGTACTGCCTACAGATGCTCTTCAATGATCCGGATGAGGGAGTCTCTACTGTCATATTTTTAAACTTTATCATGGGTAATTAGACGTGCATGTTTTTTTTAACCTCTTTAGTTATACATACATATTTGGGTTACCTAAGCAGTTATACTTACATATTTGGGTTACCTAAGCAGTTATACTTACATATTTGGGTTACCTAAGCAGTTATACTTACATATTTGGGTTACCTAAGCAGTTATACTTACATATTTGGGTTACCTAAGCAGTTATACTTACATATTTGGGTTACCTAAGCAGTTATACTTACATATTTGGGTTACCTAAGCAGTTATACTTACATATTTGGGTTACCTAAGCAGTTATACTTACATATTTGGGTTACCTAAGCAGTTATACTTACATATTTGGGTTACCTAAGCAGTTATACTTACATATTTGGGTTACCTAAGCAGTTATACTTACATATTTGGGTTACCTAAGCAGTTATACTTACATATTTGGGTTACCTAAGCAGTTATACTTACATATTTGGGTTACCTAAGCAGTTATACTTACATTTTTGGGTTACCTAAGCAGTTATACTTACATATTTGGGTTACCTAAGCAGTTATACTTACATATTTGGGTTACCTAAGCAGTTATACTTATATATTTGGGGTTATCTCAGTATTTATACTTATAAACTTGAGCTACCTCGGCAATTATACTTACATATTAGGATTACCTGGTTAATTACACATTTTCACTGACATAGTAGGCTAACTTCGGTAATAAATCACTTCAGTCATTATACATTACATATTTACTTGGTTCACTTCGGTAATTCTACTTACATATTTGTGGCATTGTATAATGAAATTAATTGGAAAAAGAACACTTTTTTTTAAAATTTGTTTAATTCTTTTTTTTTTAAAATTATTAATTTGTAAATATCTACAAGCCTCGCTTGAACGTAATCAAATGTGTCCATCATCAAGAGGCGCGTTTGCCTTCTCGGGTGGGTTTTTCTTGGTACTGAAGACCTGCACACCCTTGACGACACTGCTCTATGCTAAGGTTATATTTAGTCAAAGATAAATGTTCGGGGGTTGGGTTGGGGTGGGGGTGTTGTCGTCGTCTTTCCAAAAATAATAATTTTATATATATATTTTTTTTTTTAAACATAACAAATGCAGATTTCCTGCTGGCGCCAGCTTTGACCCGCTCGTCCAAGTCCAGTCCAACTCTCGGGTACATCCATGCTTCATTGACAGTGGTTATCCCGAACTACGCGCTCAAATTGAATGTCAAACAGTTAACATCGATGGCAAACATCGGCCCCAAGAGAGGTAAGTGGAAAGAAAAGAAAAAAAAAAGAGTACTAATTAAACGATTAATGATTTTTTGTATAACTATAAATTTCCCTTGGGGTATCCAGCGGCGTAGCGAGAGGCGATTAGCTGTTGGGAACCATCTTATAATTCTAGAAGAATAATCCTAGGCTTTGTGGATTTCGTCCTGCGAAGTCTTCACCGTGGTCACATTGTGACCGACGGATGCCAAAGAAAAAAAAAAAAAAAAGCACCCACTAAAGAACAAAATTTACCGTAAATACATGAATCCCACAGAGCCCTTACCCTAATTCACAAAACGTGTTGTTGTTTTTTTTTGCCCTGGTATTTTGAAACCATTATATAATTGGATTTATTTCTCATATGAATGGAAAAATAAGTCGTTCTTTATGTCTCGAAGATTTTTTTTTATTAATTAAACTTTTTTATCTAATAGTATGTGCATATAATATCCATATACCCGTGTATTTTTGTTGTTTTTCGGGACAATTTCTTAAAATAATAATTTAAAAAATGAAAATAAAAAAGATTCAGCATAAGCCCTTATATTATTCCAGCCCCTGCTCTGGATTCTGCTTAAAAGAAGGGCTTATTGTGTATCATCATGGGCGTTATCGTGTGGGGGGGGGGGCAGCATTAATTTTGTTTAGGACATTCTATTGCGAGACTAAAAAAATTTATTACGTATTTAAAAGGATTTGTTACATCGAAAGGAATTCCCGATTTAAAAAAAAAAATAATGAGAACTCATAATATGAAGTATTCATATGCATTAATTAGATTTAATTGTTGTTAAATTGAGAAAAAAATGAGACAAGTAGAATTTTAAGTACGGCGATATCAGCTTGTAACAAACGCACTCACAGCTATCTCTCGGTTTGGCTACTTTTCGAGAAATTTTATCAAAGAGTCATATCCACGACAACTGCTTTATGCCTCTTGTAGCCGTTCACCTGGTTGTTAGTGACACAGGGGTGATGGTTAACTAAGTCTGTAACTGTCACTGCCACATCAAGACATCAACGACGCAATTTAGTGGTTCTCAACCTTCCTAATGCCGCGACCCTTAAATACTGTTTTTCCTGTTTTAGCGACACCCAACTACAAAATTATTTTTGTTCATAACAGTATAAAATATGTGTTTTCCGATGGTCTTAGGCGACCCCCCTGAAACCTGTGTTTCGTGACTTGTCTAGCAGGAAAAAAGCAGGCTATAGTGGCTGTCTTCAAATGGCGGGTCGTGTTGAAGGTTACTGTGGCAGTTTTGAATTTGGGGGGTCTGTTGCAGGCTATTGCGTCTATGTTAATATGGCGGGATTGTTTTAAGGCTATTGTGACAGTGTTAAATGAAAGGATATGTTGCAGGCTATTGTGACAGTGTTAAATGAAAGGATATGTTGCAGGCTATTGTGACAGTGTTAAATGAAAGGATATGTTGCAGGCTATTGTGACAGTGTTAAATGAAAGGATTATGTTGCAGGCTATTGTGACAGTGTTAAAAAAAGGATATGTTGCAGGCTATTGTGACAGTGTTAAATGAAAGGATTATGTTGCAGGCTATTGTGACAGTGTTAAATGAAAGGATATGTTGCAGGCTATTGTGACAGTGTTAAATGAAAGGATATGTTGCAGGCTATTGTGACAGTGTTAAATGAAAGGATATGTTGCAGGCTATTGTGACTGTGTTCAAAAGGCGGAATTTGCTATAACCAGTTACCTATTTTATCTCTAGATGGTTACTTTGGGCCTGATCCCAATGACGACTTCCGCATTGACTACTACCTACTCTTCCATTTAGTTCAACAAATATCCTATTGGCTGATTCTCATGTGCATAGAATGGGATCTTCTGACGTTGATGTGGTAAGAAAAGAAGGATGTGGTTAGGTATGAATCTGATGTGGTAAGATCTCCTATAGCTGTGGTAAAGTTTGAGTCTGATGTGGTTAAGATCTTATATAGCTGTGGTAAGGTCTGAGTCTGATGTGGTTAAGATCTTATATAGCTGTGGTAAGGTCTGAGTCTGATGTGGTTAAGATCTTATATAGCTGTGGTAAGGTCTGAGTCTGATGTGGTTAAGATCTTATATAGCTGTGGTAAGGTCTGAGTCTGATGTGGTTAAGATCTTATATAGCTGTGGTAAGGTCTGAGTCTGATGTGGTTAAGATCTTATATAGCTGTGGTAAGGTCTGAGTCTGATGTGTAAGATCTCAGGAGGCTGTGGTATAGTCTGTCGGATGTGTTAATATCTTAGAAGGTTGTGGTAAGGTCTGGGGCTGATTTGGTAAGGTCTGAGTCTTGCGTGGTAAGGTCTGAGTCTGGCGTGGTAAGGTCTGGGGCTGATTTGGTAAGGTCTGAGTCTTGCGTGGTAAGGTCTGAGTCTGGCGTGGTAAGGTCTTGGGCTGATTTGGTAAGGTCTGAGTCTTGCGTGGTAAGCTCTTAAGTAGTGCCGTAGGAAAATGTTTAGTAGGGGCTGGAACATCCAAGGGGCGTGGGGGGAGAACGCACTTTTGTCTCATTTGGGACGTAAGTTTCGGCCAATCGCAGCATTTTCATGGAAGTTGGGGGTCTTCTAAACTCATGGCCCGCCCCTGTTTGCACGAAACCCCAAAGATGTCATTGGTCTGATGTTATATGGTAAGGTCTGTTGTTGATGTGGTAAGGTCTGATGTTGATGTGGTAAGGTCTGATGTTGATGTGGTAAGTTCTGATGTTGATGTGGTAAGGTCTGATGTTGATGTGGTAAGGTCTGATGTTGATGTGGTAAGGTCTGATGTTGATGTGGTAAGGTCTGATGTTGATGTGGTAAGGTCTGATGTTGATGTGGTAAGGTCTCATGTTGGTGTTGTAAGGTCTGATGTTGATGTGGTAAGGTCTGATGTTGACGTGGTGCAATGTGATGCTGCTTGTACTACTTAACAGAAAAAGTATTGCTAACTACAAGTCAGTTGACCATTATTGACAAGGGCCAAGATAACCATTGGATCTTTTTTTACCAGTAAAATACTGATTTTTTTTATTGTTTTTCTTTTTTTTCCCTTCATATCATTACTGAAACGTACTTCATAAATAAGCACAAGATAAAAAAATTATTACACATGTTCAAGGTATTTTTTTTTTTATGAATCTTATCATTAAAACAATAACCAGGGGTGGTGAGACCATGTCTGGTAAGAAGATCTCGTCGGGTTTGTGGGCCGGATAAATTGTGATCAATAAAAAATCAGAATATCTCACGAATTTTCGAAGCAAAAAAAAAGTACCGCCGATTTTTATGTCCCTTTTGGAAATGTGAAATGAAGCAAGAAATTATTGCTTTTTTAAAAGACGTATTACATTAATTTAAACTATTTGCCAAAATCAGATATTATAAGATTAAAAAACATTTGAACTGTACACACACACAAATTTTCACGTCAGTGCGAGTGCTGGGAATGAATCGACTCGGCGACGCTTTTTAAACTAGAACACTTGGTCGTCTTAAACTTAACAAATGGTTGAGTTGCAAAGCACTTGGCTCCACTTCAAGTGCAACCGGCATCCCACCAACAACACGAGCGAAACGGGTGTAGGAATATTGTTGTTGTTTTGTTTCCCTGGCAACCTGATCGGAAGGAGCCGTCTAGAATCTGACCTTACCTTAAGTCTTCCAAGAGCTCATAAGACGAACTCGTGTAGCATTTAGATTGTCCCTCATTTCAAAAGAAAACCGGGAGAAAGGGCAAATGCACAGCAGGAAAATTGAGTACAACAACTTCTCACCAACTGGGACTCCAAAATATTTTTACAAAATTCCTTAATCTCTTGAAATCGGAGTTAAATCCACAGAAAAGGTTGAACCCCAGAACGATTCACTATTTGTAAGTAACCGTTGAGGGAGGATTTTGTGATCCAAAATAATCTCAGCAGCAGCCCTCCCCCTCTCCCCCCACCCCCCTCCCCCCACCCCCCCCCCCCCTCTCCCCCACCCCCCCCCTCCCATTTTCCGTTTAGGAATGCGAGCCAAAAGAAAATAGGACAGGGGGGAAAGCTATTTAGAAAATAATAAGAATAAAGAATATTTTGTTACTTCGCGGGCCAGAAAGAGGGTGCTGGCGGGCAACATCCGGCCCGCGGGCCGTTTGTTGTGCAGGCCTGCATTAGACGTATTGGCTTAGGAGAATGATAACTGCTTGCAAAAATAAGAAAGACAATTTTCACCGTATCCATTGTGAAAGGTATTTGAAGTGCTGGCCGATCTCTTGTGCGAGGTCAATCTTCGAAGACAACGTCGTGGCTGAAACGCCAAAAGATGAAGAGAGTGACGTGGTTCAGGAACGAGAGAGAATTACGAAAACTCCACTGAGTGACTTATTTAAAACAGGTAAAAATCTTAAATTGAAGGACGGTATACATTTGGAATTATTGAATGTGCATGGGCTGACCGGTGGCTGCGTGGTCAACTTAAATGTGTCGACACCCCATGAGACGGAGTTTCAAACCCCATTACTGACAACACCCGTGGATGCAGTTGCGCTGGTGACGCAACATTCCGGAAAACGCTACGACAGCCCTGCAAACGCTAAGCTTGGTTTCATCAGTTGTGTGGAGAGGGCCTGGTTGACTGGGCCCCTCGCACCGGCTTCGTAGTTTCACCAGCCCTTTGCTGGACTGGGCCTTAGGCACGAGCTTAACTGGATCCTGGTTTGAGTGGGCCCTTCGCTTGACTGGGCCCCCTTACTTGACTGGCCCCCCTCACTTGACTGTGCCCCATCACGAACGTTCCCGCGCAGCTATCTCACAGACGCCGCGCAGCAGTTTTGAGTATCCGTGCAGCAAATTTCCAAGCAAGTGAGTGTTTGTATTTGTGGGCTGTAAAATTTTGCACACAAAAAAATTGATGCTGTAGAAATTTGCACACAACTGTATGATTTTGCACACCTTAGAGGGAACATTGCCCCTCACTTGACTGGGCCCCTCACTTGACTGGGCCCCTCATTTTACTGGGCTCCCTCACTTGACTGGGCCCCTCACTTGACTGGGCTCCCTCACTTGACTGGGCCCCTCACTTGACTGGGCTCCCTCAATTTCTCTCTCTCTCTCTCTCTCTCTCTCTCTCTCTCTCTCTCTCTCTCTCTCTCTCTCTCTCTCTCTCTCTCTCTCTCTCTCTCTCTCTCTCTCTCTCTCTCTCTCTCGCTGTTAGACTCAAATGTAGTTTTATTTAAACACATGATGACTTTGACAACAATTAAAGGAGCTTTTTTTTCTGCCTCGTTAGAATTTTTGGACTGTTGTTCCATCCGTAGATTCAGTCCAGAATGGGCTACTGTCCTCAGTACGACGCACTCAATGACTTTCTAACCGGCGCGGAGCTCCTCCTCTTCTACGGACGAATCAGGGGTGTGCCAGCAAAAGACCTGCCGGTTGTAGCAGCTCGAGTCGTGTCATTTATCGATCTTCATCCTTATGAGACGGAGTTGATCCGTGGATACAGGTGGATGAAAAGAAATCATTTAATGTTGTGAAATTAGTTAAGCGGTGGTGAGGAAAGGGGGGGGGGGGGTTAGTTGTGGCCTATTCCAAGCCAAATATCTATTGGTTAACTTTCCTTTGATTTACTTGTAATGGCAATTTTTTTTTTTTACAATGAATGACGCTAGCATATTCTTTGATGTATATAAAACCAAACTTAAGGCGGAAATGAAGGTAACTTGCTGTAGCTGAAAACGCACATACCCAGGGGCGTCATTTCGGTAGGGGGTAAAAACCAAAACTTAGTCGGCTTGTTAAGTTGTTTATTATTGGAGGCGCTACGATGCATAGCAATTTAAATAAAACCTGCATATTCAAAAAGAAAAAAGCGGGTGGGGGCAAATTATTCTCTGCCCTACCCAAGTGACGTCCCTGACACATACATTTGAGTTAAAGATGAAAATTGCTGTATCTAATTTCAATTCTTAAAAACACTGATTTGTACGGGAATCGAATAAATTATTATTACTAGTTACAGCCCGCCAAACATTGGTGGTAGCAATGCGTGAACTTCCCATCTACTAAAGTTACTTGACAAAAAACGTGAACTCAAGTTACGCACATTTATGAATTCCAATTTTTCTACCCCCCCTCCCCCCCCCCCCCCCCCCTTTTTTTCCCATGATACGTCACTCCACACTTTTTATTTCACGCCCATGAACTATATTCATATTCTCATGTCCCAACCCCCTTTTAAACCGAATATTTTTTACCCAATACTTAAATTGAGACCATTTCATTTCGGAAAAGAAAATATTACGCACCAAACGCAATTGCGTTATTAAAAATAGATATACATCATTTAGTGTAGCTATAATAGCCGCCAAAGATTGGCGGTAGCGATGCGTGAACTTCCCATCTACTAAAGTTACCTGAGACGATTTCATTTTCCGAAAAGAAAATATTGCGCACCAAACGCAATTGCGTTATTAAAAAATATAGGTATTTAATAAATAGCCTAGGTATCGGGAATTATGTTTTGCGCCCTAGTGAACTCATTATTGAACCACACTCTGGCGTATCTATAAATAGCCTGCGTGGTGTTTGAACCGTGTTGGTGTTCGACCTTTGCTGGCGAATTATATATATATATATATATAGATTACATGGGCGCCCGCAGAGAGGGGCAAAGGGGGGGGGGCATTTGCCCCCCCCCCTGGACTTATTGGATAAAAATTTTTAGACAAAAATAGACAAAAAATGTATTTAAGTAAAGAGAAAATAAAGAGAAAGTAACTAAGCTGATGTCCTGTCCGTTCGTTCACCATACAAATACGCTACA